GCCCGCGGGGGGCGGGCGGGGCTTCTCTGCGCCGGGCGGGCCAGGCCGGGCCGCCGTTCCCATCGTCCGCAGCCCGCGCGGCACCCCGCACCTCTCCGGCCGGCTGTCCCCCGGAGTTAGACTCTGTCCCATCATCCCGCGGCAGCGCTCCCGTTGCCCCTCCGGAGAAGTTGGGCTGCGACCCCCGGTGGTCTTAGCCAGCGCAGCCGGGCACTTAGGATGAGTTGACCGCAGCAGCCAGCGTCCCCTTTGGGCCTTCTGTCCGGGGCTGATAGGAGCTGTAATCCCAAAACACTCGAGCGCCCCGGGAGAAACCTGTGATCAGGTACTCTGGAGCTCCCGAACTTTTTCTCGGCCAGGGAAATGCCGCTAACCGTAATTAGGATGAACTTTCACATTCATGTGAATAGCAAAGTTATAGCGGTATTCCAGTGTTGTGATATGTCAGAGCGATGATCGGTCGTCCCGAACGCCGGGAAAGAACGACGAGACGTTCCGGGGGACCCTGGCGGTGCACCGATTTCTTATGGCCACAAAGTCCGCTTCCTTGGGCGCCCGGCTGCACTTGCGTGTGGACTCTGGTCCTCAAAATGCGCCCTGCAATGCACCTGCGAGCTGCCTCAAGGCTCTTGCTTGTGCTGTAAGAGAGAAATGTGGCCGGCTGGGAGTTGCAGGTAGTGCGAACCCCATTGCGCTTCATGCTGCCCCGCGCACGGTAACTGTGAACTGGGCGGTAGAGAGGAAGTGCACCGTTGCCCTGCTTCCATAGTGAGGCATCCTTGTTGTTTTTTGCTTAACATAATTATATGCCAGACGGTAAAAGAAACAAGCATAGCTTACTTAAGTTATTAAGCTCTTTATCATCACTGTGACAGTGACAGAATAATTGGTAAGTTGATCTAGTGATGTATTGTTTTATGACTTGTTATAAACCACCTCGGGGCTTGAAAAATTGGACACAGGATATTCTAAAATAAAATATTCCAGTTTCTGGGAATATATTCCTCTGTGGGCTTTCCCAGGATTCCCAGAAGTCGTTGTACATTAATGAATAATTGTGGTGGTGGTTGTGTTGTTTTGCAGGTGGTGAGTTGATCCCGCGGCATCAGATGAGTTGCTTTTTGGGTTTCTTCTAGCCTAAACGACCAATAGATATTAGCGCGTTGTCTGTGTGGGTTTGCAGGTGCGTGTGTGGCAGGCAAGCCAAGGGGGCCCGATCGCACCGCCGTGTATTTCTAAGATGCCTATCTCATGCCGAAGCTTTGAAACCATGAGAACCGTGAAAAAGAGAGGGAAAAATCATTAAAACGAGGCAGTCGCCTCTTCTAGAAAGCAACATGTTTGAGGCTCAGGGGTGTGTGCTTTATCATATCGACTCATTATTTCAATCGCTATTAATAGCAGTTACATTCAATGTTGTCCGTCGTTCCCGTTGGTGCTTGCCAGTCCTTGGGTGGCAGCCTCATGTCCGGAGCCCCTTTCTGCTTTTGAGAAACCCGGGTGTGGGGCCGAGCCTGGACGATGCTGGCACGGCCGGCCCCACATGTGCCCCACGGCTGCCCTTATTCGGTGCTGCATCTGCCCCACGGCTGTTTGTGGAACATCCAGCCCACGCCAGACTGTTCCCGGCCGGGCACTGGCTGATGCGTCTCGTTACACCGGCCGTGCGCTGTGCTCGCATCTTGTTATTCCCGCCGAGCACCCTGGGGAGCGATGCTGG